CACTGATCCACTGCCCAGGCCTCCTCACTGACTCTCACATTCAGGGGGTCTGTATCAGTCCCATGCTGGCCTTCCAGCTGTAAGTCTGGGGTCCAAGAGCTCTCCCCTGTTCAGATCAGCTGTCTCTGCTGATTTTGTCAGCCCATTCTTTGCCAATTTTCTCATCCCTCCTCTCTCCCTGTCACTGAGTTCCATGGGTTCAGTTCAGTGTTTAACTGTGGGTGTTTGCCTATGCTTCCATCAGTCACTGGATGAAGGCTCTAAGATGGTTATGGACATCAAGTTCATTATCAGGAATGGGCATTCGAGGTGGTCTCTCCACTATTGCTTAGCTTGCCAGTTGTATACCCTGCATCTTATATGAAAACAAATTACTGCCTGGTGGTGGTCCTTTTGCACACCTTCCATCCCAGGACTTGGGAGGCAGAGACAGGCAGATCTCTATGAATTTGAGGCCAGCCTCCTCTACAGAGTTAGTTCTGGGATAATCAGGACTATTTCTCAAAAAACAAACAAAAAATTGTAAGTTACTTTTAGAGCATATATGTCACTATAAGATTAAAACCCTTTTCCAAAGAGGAGTCTAAGTAGGACAGAACACAAAACAGGGCAGTTAGGAGAAATGGCCTGAAAGCAACATCTGAGGGGGCATCTAACCAGCTCCGTGTCTGCTGCTTTGAGAGAGCAGTCTGGGTATCATATCCTGAGCCAAAACAGCATCCAATTTCAAAAATCAACTTAAAAACAACAAAAGTCCATTGATAACACTGATGATGATATGCAGCTAAATAAAGATCTTTTGTTTCTATATGTTTATTATGTGCCAATTTCCACTTTGTCTATCAATCAGATGGAGGTAAGTTTAGTTTTATGTGGGATATTAGCTTCCCTATCAATTCTGATGGGGTTGTTTTAGAAATGGATTTTAGAAAGTGTTTCAGTGCTATTCCAGGCACCTAAACTTTGCATTTCATAGGGGATCAGAGGTTCTATGGTGATTATATTATATCCCTAATTCCCATACACACATACAATGAATCATCATGGCAAGGCACTCCATGGAAAACATTTCTACTGACCTCCTCCACAGATTCCCCTGAAAGTCATCCAGAATGTTCAAAGATGTCAATGTCCTGACTCTTAGAGGAGCTAGAATCAGGTTAACTTTATGTACCATGGCTTCCTTTCTTGTTGTTTAAAATTGTATTCACTTATCAAATTGTTTATTAGGCAAGGATAAAATCACACAAATCCTGTTGTCTCTATGATTTCTACCATACTATGAGGTTTTTAAATTTTTTAAAATTTAATTTAAATTGGAAACAAGTTTGCTTCACATGGCAATCCCGGCTCTCCCTCCACCATTCAACCCTCCCCCCCTCCTCCAATTCTCACTCCACTCTCTAAGGAGGGTCAGGCCCTTCATGTGGGATCTCAAGAAAGTCTGCCATATGATCTGGGGCAGGGCCTAGGCCCTTCCCCATGTGTCCAGGCAGAGACAGCATCCCTCCATGTGGGAGATTTTTTAAAATGTTAAGAGAACACTGTGTTGTCAAGAGTTATTTCCCAGACAAAATAACAATGAATTGTTTAAAAGTCCTGTTATCTAAAGCAACTGTCCTCTTCTTTCTTTATTTTATGAGTACTTTCACAAATAATCCATTTTTGTTTTCCATTGTCAGAAAATACAAACTATAGCAAAGCATAAAGAATGCAATGATGCAAAATATGGAGGAGGTAATGAAGCAGACACACAAGCCATAATTGTTTATCTGAGGGTTTAAGGACATTTTCAAAGGATGGGGTTTATGGTTGAATGTTTATGGATTGAGTTTATGGTTGAATGGTGTTTACAGTTAATGGTAGTGTACTTCATTGTGGTTTTCTACTCTTATTCTAAAATTCACAAATTTATCTTTTTCTTAATCCTACTTACTTATGTTTTATTTGAATGGCAGATACCTTGTTTCATATATTTGCAGGTATTGCTCTTTATTCCGATGACTATTTCTTTCTCTTTATTCTATTAGTTTATTCATAGTATCCAGTATCCATATTTTCCTATTGTCAAAGACCTTCTTTGCCATAGTAGGTGACCAGTATAGACTGGTTGATGTGATGTCCCTGAGTGGTATATCACACTATCATTTCTGCTCCACTTGAGCTTAGTAAAATTATTTTGGGATTCCCTGCTACACTAGAAATTTAGTTAGGGATTTTTAAGACATGTTATTTATGAAGTAATTGACTAAAAATTACCTTGAAATAAGTGAACATCTATGCACATCCCAAGCAAGTAAGCAGCAATCTGATTTTCATTAATGCTCCCACTGAACCTCAGTTTTACTATTTTGTGATGGAGAATTATCTTGCATACTTGCAAGTTAGTCTTGTTAGCTTTAGTCCAGCTCAGTTTTTTTTGTAACATTTTTATTTAAATTAGAAACATGATTGCTTCACATGTCAATCCCAGCTCCCGCTCCCACCCTTCCTCCCTTGTCACTCCACCAGCTCCCCACCCAATCCCCACATCATTCCTCAGGGAGGGCGAAGCCCTCTTTGGGGGATCTCTAAAGTCTGTCAGTTCATCCATGGCAGGACTTAGGCCCTTCCCCATGTGTCCAGGCTGAGAGAGCATCCCTTTATTTGGAATGAGCTCCCAAGGTCATTCATAAACCATGGTAAACACTGATATACTACCCAAGACCCCAGTGATTTTTGTGGCCTCCTCACTGAGACTGCATTCATGGAGTCTGGATCAGTCCCCTGTTGGCCTCTCAGGCATCAGTCTGGGATTCAAGAGCTCCCCTTTATCCGGTCAGCTGTCTTTGTGGGTTTCACCATCATGGTCTTGACCCCTTTGCTCATCACTCCTCCATCTATGTCACTAGGTTCCAAGAGTTCAGTTCAGTGTTTAGCTGTGGGTATCTGTCTCTGTTTCTATCACTCAGTGGATGAAGGTTCTAGGATAGCATATAAAGTAGTCATCAACCTTGCCATCAAGGAGGGGCTATTAATGTAGTCTCTCCACTATTGCTTAGTGTTATCCTTGTAGATCTTTGGAGGTCTCACTAGGCAGAGGATGAACATGTAAATTAACAAAATCAGAAATGAAAAGGGAGACATAACAACAGACATTGAGGAAATCCACAGAATCATCAGGTCATATTTTGAAAAGCTGTACTCCACAAAATTTGAAAATTTAAAGAAAATGGACAATTTTCTGGATAAATATCATTTACCAAAATTAAATCAAGATCAGATAAGCAATCTAAATAGTCCTATAACACCCAAGGAAATAGAAGCAGTCATCAAAAGTCTCCCAACCAAAAAAAGCCCAGGCCCAGATTGCTTCAGTGCAGAATTTAACCAGCTCAGTTTTATTCATAGTTAACAGGCCACACTGTCCCTGCTGCTTCCTTGAGCCAGTCACTACTTCTGAACTCTCTTACACATTCCATAAACTTAGCAGATAAGAGTATGTTCATCTTTGCCTTTATTATATTTATGAACCAAATGAGACAGGCTATTTACATAATTTTAAAAACTTAGAATAAGCCTTACATACCAAATAAATAAAACCATTGCATTATATTTTAAAGTGTAATCAAAGTGTTCTTTTACCCTTCCATGGCAAAAATATACAAGTATGGACCATGACAATAACCATAGGCTGCTCATAATGTAGTAATTATTAGTATTATTAAAATTATTACCTGAATGTGACTTTTGAAAATGATTCATTTCTATCCTATGTCTTACATTGTATCATGGAGCTATAGTTACACTAACCTTATTTATGACTATGTATAATCTTTATGAAAAAGACAATGGCTTTACCATATCTTCCAAATAAAGTCTAAAGTCTTTTTTTATGATTTCAAAAATGTGTCCTCACCTATGTTCATAACCCTAATACTCATTCCTACCATACTGTGTAATGCTGTTTACCAAATGGTCTGAAACTCATTTTTCCAGCTCACAACATTGTTTCTTTCCTTCAGATTTACCATCCATATTCATCACATGAAGAATTTCTTCACTTCTTAAAATAACCTCTCATCTACAAAATACTTTATCATTCTCTCACATTTTATGTTTTCTTCTTCTGAGATTTCTTACATCAGGTTTTCTTACAACATCTATTCTGTTTCACTATACTATATTGATTATTTGTGATTGGCTTTCTTTTCTCTCATATTCAATTTTCCATTTTTACTGACAAAACTGCGAAGTACTTAGACTGTGTTCACAAGAGTATGGGGAAGGGTTACTTGAACAACATCCAGTCATTCATAAAGAATTGCTGAACTATTTTTAACTTCTAGATGTATGTATATTCAGATATGGTTATCAAAAATACATTTTCATGGATTTCAAAAAGTTTAATTAATAAATCTGCTACAGTGCTTCTATTCTGAACATAAATCTCTGGGTAAGACTAAAAACCATGAACCAAGATATTAGACTGTACTCAATTAGAAACCGTATCTGGCTAGTATTAAATTGCCAAATACCATGGACACTTGGAGTCATTAATTTGCTAAAGCTATACTTGATGTATGTGTCAGACACACTAGACATATACTCAAAGCTTATTGAGAATCTTCAGAATATAAAAATAGAACTCCCAAATTTAGGCAGATTTTCAAAACAGAAAAAATTGGTCATTTTTTTTATTTTCATAGACTTTTGTTTAGAAAAAATCAAATTTGATCAAATATTTTACAGAGACTGCCCTTTAGAAAAAAAATCAGACTTGACGGAAATTTAATTACCATAAGTAGGCTTTTGTACTATTGCTATAATGTGGAGTAAGCTGTCCCATGACCATAACACTTCTCAAATATTTGAAGTTCTGTGACAGTCACATCTATTCAAAGACATAAGGTGTTAACTTTAGTATATTTGGAGAATAGCTTCCTAAGCTTTAGAATTTCTGTTCATTTATCCCCATTTCTCCTGCTGTTTCATTCATATTATCTACGGTTTTTTTTTAGATTATTAAAACGAGAGGACAGTTTTACATTTATTCCTCGTTCTCGTGAAGAACTTCCAGACAACTTTCCAAAGGAAATCCCTGGAGTCTGCTATTTTCTGGAGGTCAGGACCGGTCCAAAGCCTCCAAAACCTTCACTGTCTTCATCAAGAATTAAGAAAATTTCCTACAATATCGGCACGATGTTCCTCCGGGAGACAAGCCTGTGAGGCTTGCAGAGGATCAAAGAATCCTCCAAAAAGCACAAGCCCAGAACATGGGTCCCAGGAGAGGAGGAAGATGTTGCTTCTCTTCCAGTGCTCTGTAAGAACCTATAGTTTCTGTTCAATGTCATGCAATAATGCTTGAAATGGTGAAGAACTGCTGCCAAAAAAAGAAGCTGGGTAGTGGCAACGAAAAGTATCATGCATTCATCCACATGATTGTTTGTCATATGTATTTTATTTCCAAGTGCATGCCCCTTTCAAAAGTAAGCAATGATTAGCACCTGTGTTTCTTGCTTGTCACCCATGCAGGTATCTCTTCCTATATATTTATACCACTTTTGAGAGCTGGTTTTGAATATACATTCCTACATTTAGTGACCTGGTAGGTAAGGAATATTATCTATCTTTTCCTGAAAAGACATTTCATACATATATCATGGCAATGTGATTTTAAACTTCCAAGCAGGAAGAATTGTAACCCAGCAAAATATTTTAGGGATATTACTTATTTTTATAAATATATACATATATATCTTCTAGATAATTACATTTCACAAAACATGATTAGATATTCAGAATGTGCTGTTGCATTGTTGGTGATGTTAACCTAGTAATATAACATAATATAGTTTCACTCTTTTAGAGAGATTAGTGCTTGGACTGAGAATATATATAAATAAGGCTATCAGCTGTTGAAAAACCACGTGTGTCTGCTTAGTGACCACATCTTTTAGATTTATTTAACGAGGCTTGGAGTCTAGAGAGAATGGAATTTTCTAGTAGCAGATGTACATGTAACTAAGATTTGGGAAAGATCTTTTCATGATTTTCAAATGCATATCAGTTAAAAAACAAATTGCTTTGCAATGCTGGGCTCTTTTCAATGTAGATGGAGTTTGCAACCTTAAGTAGCCCTCTAATAAATAGCATCTCATGACATGATGCATTAATAACTGCCCTTCCTGTTTTGACTGATGTCTTCTAAGCACTGACTGCCAGTCTCAACAAATCCCTGAAGCCAGTTTTACTGACAAAGGCCTGCTAGGGCATTTGTTTTTTATTGCCTAAACACAAAACAAAGAAAAACTCTGGAATTCATGGCTTTGAGTATCTAAAAAAGTATATTCTTCTGCAGTTTTGTTGATAAGATTTTTAAAGCAGTGTATCATCTCGGGAACACTGGAACATGCCTAACTCCTGATCTAGTAAGCACCATACATGTACAAATAGATTTCCATTGCATGTTCTACTAAATTGATGGCCTGCTACCAATAGCCAACACTGCATGAAAAAGTTATTACAGGCTCACACTGACATTAGGAGTGCACAGTGTGCCAGAATTTTCATACGTTGGATCAGATATAAAAACCTAAACTTTAAAGAGTTCCATGACATGGAAGCATTTACTGTTTCAAAATATTAAAGTGTACATTTTCTTACTCCAGTATATATACTCACGGGTAACTATGTTTACTGTATGCAATATAGTTTTTTATGTTCAGGGATTTGGGGCTGCATTAAAGATTTTATGACACAGTTTAGATAAGGCATATATTAATTTTCAGTGTTCTCCATGAAGGTTAATCAGTGTTTTGGCATTCTCCATGTATGTGAATTTGGGATATTAAAAACATGCAAAGTAATTGTTTTAATCTTGATCTCTTATAATTTGAGCTGTGTTTTTGCCCTGGTATATTGGAGACACTAGTTCAACAATATTCACATGGAGAAGGCAATATGTCTCTAGTTTCTAAGCTGCTACCTGTTCCGCATTTTTCCCAGGCATAGGTCTCTCTTTTTTCACAATGCTTATAGAAGGCTATCGTCTTGGGGATAACAATAAACAAATTTCTTCAATTGTGTATTAGCCCTCCTCCTTCAGAGTAGAGGGGTTGGAGGATTTGCAGAGAGTGTGGATGGAATAAGCTAGAGACACAAAGTAGTCATGGTCATACTGGAAAATGCCTGAAGAAAGTAGAGTCTCCTTACTCTTGAGGAACATCTAAACATACCCATGCTCATGGAGAACATTTATGTCTATTATGTGCAGCAACTGTGTTTATTATAATACATTCAATTATTCAATACTCAGTGAACATGTTCTGTAACCACAAGGCTGAAAAAAGATTTCCAAGGAACCATCCAATGTATTTACACATTTTTTGCAAAGATTTGTCTGAGCAATTATCTTAAATATTCAGTTATTTTCTCTGTATTTAAAAATATGTAAGAAATGCACACACACACACACACACACACACACAATGTGTATGTGCATGTATTTTTAAAAACCTGCTCTTTGAAAACCACCCCATTATCCAGTGATTTGTTATAGGGCTCAAGGCAAGAATTTCTTCATTTACTCTCAGATTTTTCAAAGCATCATGAACTCTATTTGTTTAAATTAGTTTACATAGAGAGGAAATAGCCATTACACTGTCAGAAATAGCACCTTAAAGAGCTCTAATATATATATATATATACATATATATATGTATCACTAACAGGAAACTATATTTTTCAAACACTAAAATCTAATCATATTTCAAAAGATAGTCTGAGTAAACTGTAAAATCTTGTATGAGGTTTCCAGACTATTTCAAAGGACCAAAATAGTTACACTGTTGCTGTGTGTGCTTTTGGGGCACTACATAAAATGGAAAAAACAACAACAACAAAATAAAACCAAAAACATGTTTCTTCATTCTGGCTGAAATCTTAGAAGGTAGAGGTTATGGAAAATTATGCTTTCATTTTTCCTACACAGCAGAGTTTATATGTTAAACCATAGGAATCTTGACTGCAAATATGAGACAGTATTTTTGGTTTTATTGACTAAAATCTCTCCATTACACACATATGCTTATAATTCTTAGAAACAGCATGTATTTTAGTGTGTCAGGTTGAAAGGAATTTACAATAGTTCCCATAGAAACCAAGTGATTGCATATTGGCATAATATATTTATCTCACATCTGAAAATATGATTTCAAATGCAATTGCAGCTTCCCAGATTCAGTGTTGGGTTATATAGCTAATCCAGCAATGAGACTTTGCACCTAGACAGGATTACTAGCAGTTCCCACAGGCAGAAGGATCATGGGATGAAAAGAACACCATCATCTCCAAAAAAATCATCCTCCTAGCATAGCTATTCCTATATTTATGCAGATTTTCCTATATAGAATCTCTCTTATTAACTTTAATAAATAAGTAAAAGTGGCCAAGAGTAAGACATCTCAGAAACATGGTTGGATCTTTCAACTGTCATTTAGTGAAGTTTTTCTGTGACCCAACTTTCTAAAAATCTACCTCTGTATGCATTTTTCCTGTTGTATTTTAGACAATTTGGGGTTTCTCTTTCAATGCCATATTACATGAGGAGTCCAGTGAGCTATGATCCATAGTTCTGTCACAGACCATTATATATAAAACTGGAGAACTGGTCTGTAGATTCAGCACACATTAGTTCTTATAGTGTCAAACTTTCCTCTCTTGTGTAATGACTCTGGTATCAGGATAGAGATACATGTTCAGAAAGTGAAAGCTTGTGCCTCTTCGGGGAAAAGCAAAACAGGATATTAAAGAGTTAAACATTCTCAAGTGCAGTAGTGGTTTTAAACTTGCAAATAATTCCAAAGAGTTCTAGCAATAAAGCAAAAGCACACAGAAACAAAGACTTTACAGAACCATCTATTTCCTTGTTCTGTACAGAAAGGGTGTTTCCGCTAACTGAAATAGTGGGTCTGCAGTTGTCTAGTATTGAGAGACTGCAGATTATGACCATCACCATTGACAGTTGCTTGCCTCTGTGAATGACTGTTGGGTGTTGTACAAGATTAGGACAGAAAGTAACAGCAATGCAAGCTTCTGAATTATAATGTTCTTTAGTTAAGACATGAGTTATCCCTCCCTCACCCTTTTGTCTTGTGTGTTCAGCAGATGCCATCTGAACCCCTCAATCCCAGCCATAATCAAGCATTATTTCTTCTTTACTTCTGAACCAGACAGCCACAGAAAGAGTTGCTAATGTGTAGCTAGATGCACCCACTGTGTCAGACTTTCCTTACAATAGCTAACTGTGTGCAGTCTGTGGACCATTGTGTCTGTATTTCTTTTCCAAAATCAGCCAGATTTGAAGCTCTTTGTGTAACTCCTAGAATATTGCATTGGAAATAATTTTACATACATGAACTTTCAGCCAATGAAACCTAATGGTTCAAATCCTTCTGCCATTATCATATCTTAGTTTGGTTCTTTCTATTGTTAGATTGTAGACAAGCTACAAAAACTGTGTTATTTTAGAGACTTCCATAAGATGGTGTAGCAAGCAACAGCCCAAATTTCTGATGTAAGAGAGAAGAAATTTGTTGGTACTGTGGGCTGTTCTTACATGAGTGTGTCTAACTTGTAGCCAACTTAACACACACATAAGCTGTGTTAACGAGATGAAACAAATTCTTTTTAGAAAGCAAAATGGACTCAGGTCATAATCCTCATGGTGGTGAATTAAGAACAGCTGCTGGTATTCTACACATTAACATATTCTTGTCAGAGTCTATTGAGATAGTGTTCAAATTTCCTTCTTCACACTTGATTCAAATAACTAGAACTTAATTGTTAGTGTCCTGATACCTTTCTGTTTCCTCTTTCTTCCTTTACTTTAATTGAAAAAAATACAAGACATTGATACATTCATAGGACAGAAAAAATCACTACTGTGTCCCTTCAAATTGTTTTATAAATTCCTGAATCTCACCTGTGTATGTGTGTGTGTGTGTGTGTGCACATACATGCATACATGTGTACAAATATGCGTGTGGTTTTTGGATCTAAAAGGAATGTCATCTGTGGAGGACTTGGGAATGTTGGAAATAGTTTATTGTTGTTGTTGTTGTAGTTGGTCTAGTATGTTGTATGTCCTTGTCATACTTTCAGCCAAATCTTCATTGCTTTCTCCTGCTATTCTAGTTTAATGATTCAGTTGGTCTGCTTGAAAGTGTCTGCCTAATTCCTTAAGAATTACCTAGGAAGCTTAGAAATGTGAATGTCTCGGTGGTTCCTTCCGAGATTTTGATGCAGTAGGTCTCAGGTTGGACCCAAGAGTCAGCATTGATGAAACCACTCTAGGTAACACTGATATTAAATACAGCCAAATGTGGTAGAACAATGATACAATCTCAATGACTACAAGTTAATACAAGGTGACTAAGATAGCAATATGCTATTTCATTTAGAATTATTTTGAACATTTAAGCACTCTGGGATTCTTTCATAAATTATTATTTCTGTCATAAATGTTGAGTTTAACTTTGGTTTCCAATAGTGCTTCCAGAACATGAATCATCAAACTTATTAAGGATAGAAGTAAGCACTGACAAGCATGAGCGATGAATATTGCCCACTGTAGGGCTATTAAGCATACTAGTTATTTTCTTAGTCACTGCCAAATTATGCACCGTATTACATTTTCTGGCCCTTACTACTGAGGTACAGAGGTTTAGTTTAGGACACCAGCATGTATTGAAATGACAGTCTTACTTCAGGATGCTGTGGTCTCTGTTATAAAAAGACTCCAAGTTAATACTTAATACTTTGTCTCACTATGTACACTACTCATTGGATTTTATACTTCACAAAAAGTAACTTTGTAGCAATACTTTATAACAATCTTACAAGCAATAATTTAAGCCATGGTAATGATGCCATACATATTGAATTTCTGTGCATTTCACCAAACTTTTGGGGAAATACAGACATGTTTTCCATAAGCAATACTATAGGTGGTTTGGAATTTGTAAAGTTGTTTGGTGTTTTACAAAAAAATGAGCATCAAGGGTTGAATCAGAGCTCAAAAATTGGACGAATAGTATTCTAATCCATATCAAAAGTCACTCATTTGCAGACATGTAGTGTATTTTCATCAGACTATGTCAGGTATATAATTTACAACTACCTATTTTACTGTGGTTTCTATCTTAAAGACGTCATGTGCTATTATAAGATTGCTCAAATGTTTGAATATCTGTAGTTTATAACAGCAAGAAACAAGAATGTACAAATGGAAGGAGAGTGTAAGTTGCAAGATCTGATTGAAAAAACAAATTGTGTTGAAACATCCATGGGTCTTGGTTTGAGAAGGCTGTTCTTGCTTTTCAAGACTGAAGATAGAAAGAACAAAGAGATTTCTAAAGGTACCAAGATTGTTAGAAGAGAGAGTCTTAAAGAGAAGCAGTCTCTGTAGTGGACACTCCTGATTTAATGAATGCCAGGTAACACATTAGTTGTGTGTTACTCTTTTGAGGCTTGTTGTTGATTTTGTGTTTGTTTTTTTAAGAGGGAAAAGAAAACCAAACCAGTCATTTTCAGTTCTCCAACAAGGCAGTGCCAGGAGTGCAGCAGCTGTGAGTCTCCATAAAGCTGCATTAGAAACTCTCCGAGCTATTAATAGCAACTCTCTGAAGGTGACAGACGGGAGTTTTGGGTACAGTGATGAAGGTAAATGGAAGTGTCAGAACATCTGAATCTACAAAACAGAGAAAGCCAAAAACAACTGTCTCTGCCTTATGTCACAGGAAAGCCTAATGGATGTAGCACAGGACTGATAGTGTGCAAGGTGCATTAAACAGAACATTCTCTTCTCTCTTTGAACATGTTTGGCCGAGCTAACATTCATTAACAAGACTGTTTTGCACTTTGGACTCTCTCACCACTGCCATTATAGAAATGACATGTTTTTCTATATTGGGAACTTCTATCACAAAATCTGGAAAATGTTTCATGTGCCATCATTTTTGAAGCTATTCCATATTTCATATTTCTGTTCATATTTTCTCAACCTACAATCCATCTGCAAACAAAGCAAGTATTGGGCTTCTGAGGAAAACCACCTAGATATACCCAGGAACGTCTTCCTCCGGGATGCTCGGGAGGACTCAAGTTAAGAAGAGAAATCGGACAGTGTTCAAGGGAGAGGCGAATATGTTCTCTCTACCTTCTAAAGTTGAAAGGAGTTGGAGAGCCCGTAATTATCACTGAGACATTTCTTAATTAATTGTAACAGGTTACTTCATGCAGAATTCATTAAGGACAAAAAATTTAGGAAGAGTAAGCCCTACCCATTTTTAATGAGACTCATCAGTTTTAGAAATAATTTTAGAATATATATTTACTAAACTGAGTCAGCTCACTTGTGTATACACCTCAGATTTGGTAGGGTTTTAAAAAGTTTTTCCTAAAATGCATCAATAACTTTAGCATTGAGAAACTATTTCTTGGCTTAGTCCCTCAGGTTTTAGCCTGTGGTGATAACACTTAATCACAAATTAATTACATTTCAATGATTTTTATTCTTCCATTTTCTCCATGTTACAGGAAAAAAGCTATAGAGTTGTTATAAATAAGATGAACTTACAAATTGTGGCACTGAACCATATTTCTCTAATTGAACAGTCTTGTACTTAAACTGTTAAACTATTTCAGAGGTTGATAGTAAAATTCAAAAGTAGTGTGTTCAGTCTCATTCACATTAAGGCACAGAGTAAGGCACCTCAGAATTGTCAGGCTAAAACCCAAAACGACAGACAGTTACCAACTAACTACATCTGAATCATTGAAATAACAGACTGTTCCACATCAGTCATGGCTAAGAAGAAACCATATTTCCACATCTGAGAAAACATCAGTTCTAAGAGCCATTTTGCTTTCTTTTCTTTTCTTTTCCTTTCAGGGAGCATTGCATTTGTTCTGTGTTGTTGACTTTCAATTCTAACAGAGAAATATCACTTCTTCTGAGATTTGACCAGTGTATTTGAATGCAACCACTTAAAAACCCCTCATTCCCTACCAGAAGCATGGTAAGCTAAATATCTCCTGAGAATAAAGCAAAATACTGAAGCATTAGCATCAATGTGAAATAATCCAAGACTTGATTTGTGTAAATTTGCACATCGGAACAAAATCTAACATTTCTTTGGGGGTGGATACCCTGAAAAATAGTTGTTTGTAGTCAGTGGCAGAGTATATTGACAAAGATACCAAACCATCTCTAATGGTGGCTCTTTATGTCTAGCCACTGCAGTCTAGATAATATAGAGGATTATAGAATCATCTAAATCAATTCAGAAGGAATTTTAGAAAAAATCTTGAATTTTTGCTGTTGTGTAAGGTAATTGTGGGTGGTTAGTAGCCAAATGTATCAAACCTTTCATTTTAGTTAGTTTGAAGTTTATCACCAGGCACTTGAAAATTTCAGAATCATCAATTGTTATGTAATTCTGTAACCTGAAATAATAGTCACATCTTGCATTTCTTTTAATCCTTAAAACACGTCTTTTCTGTCTATGACATACAAATTATTTGACCATAAATGCTGTCTTAATTGAAGAGTGTATGTGAAATATTGAGGTGGATTCAGCTGGAGAGAAGGAAAGAGTAAGAAAGAGGTCCCCTGTAGGGAGGACAACAAGGAGGCATTCTTTTGCTTACATTAAAATTATGTCTTTAGTCCATCCTTGTTAACCCAAGATAAAGCTTAGGCTATTGATATGGATATTTCCTTACCTAAGTTTTAAAAATCACAGTATTTATATTCAAAACACTATGATGAATGACACTATAAAATTCAGCATGTCAAAAGTATTAGAAAACAAACAAGGGACTTAAAACAGCTAATTAGAATGATTATTTAAAAGTACAAGGACAAAATCAAAGTTCTTCAATAATTATGTCCACCAGGACAGCATTTGTTTCTGTTTGGAAAATTTAGTACTGTGTCTTCAATTGGTATTTGCTACATGACAAATCGAACTGTAGCATAGTTTTGTGCTAATGAGAAGCCAGATAAAAATTCAAATATCTGCATCAGCTACAGTTGCAAATTAAATATAATAGACCTGCAACATTTATGAATAAATCTCTCAATAGAAGTCTAGTGAATGGATTGTACATATATGTGCTTTGTAGGGCAACTGGTCAGGTCCCTAAATATGTTGGCATTTTTAACTCCTGTACTCCCCTCTTTGTTTTCAATCATAAACTTCCCTTCCCTCCATTCCTTCTTCCCTTTATTCTGTCTTTTCTGTCTATGTTTCTTCATAATTCTTATAAGGTGCATGACCACAGTATTATACTCTTTGAGTTGAGGCTCCTCTTGTCCACACTCACATGACTAAAGACCTGTCAGGTAATGAGGAAAAGGTTAGAACTTAGCAGAGATCATTTGGGAAGATAAGTGACTGTGACTTTGGACTTTATCTCCTGAAATTTTTGTTTGACCAGAGAAACATTGGTCTATACAAGCATCTTTGCAATCTCCTATGAAGTATCAAATCAACTTTTTAAAACATATGCCTTTCATCATTCATATCTTTACTTAGAAAAATCTCACAGCTAAATCTTCACATTTGCATTAGACTGACAATCACATTACTAAAGACTGAGGCTGAAACTAAGCATTTTTTTCTGAAATCTGCTTTCAAAATTATAGGTACATCGAATAGAGTATGATTTAACCAGGTCTTTAGATATATGGGATACACTGACAAACTTACTGGATACTGCTCAGTTAACCAGATTGGTATGTTATAGTGTGTCTAGGTCTTGGAGTGTGTGAAGAATATTCTACACATTCTGCTGTGGAATCAATATGTGGCATTGCCCGTACTTCTTAGCTCTATGCCTTTGAATTAATCCATAATTGTTTTATTAAGAGTTTTGACTTATTCACAATTATGAATTTCCATGGTCTGCAATTTAGAAAATGTTATTTTGAACATTTTATATTGTTATAACAAGAGATAATCATTTATAAACCTCAATTTAAAACTTTATTTTTTAGGGAAAATTGGATAATGTGTAGCACACATTTGGTTCGTAAGAGAAAATAACTCAAGTTTCTTAAGTTTACTAAAGAAGAAGTTAAAACAGAAATTTTAGGAAACGTCAATATTTGAGTAACCTTTGAATCTTTCAAAATCTTGAATGTTCCCAAACTTAAATGTTATTATTATACTTCTATGCCATTTTATGAATGTAATATTCAAACTTCTATAGAATAACTTCGTATTCTCTAGAGGGACAGGAATATCATTAAATTTTCCTCCTTACAAGGATATTTTTCTGAAATTAGCCACTCTATCCATTGTATTTATGTTCTTAGGGACAGACTCTGGGACCTCACATATGCTAGGCAAGAATTCCATCTGGGAACTACCCTTCCAGCAACAAACTGTTATATTTCAGTTTCCTTCTAATTATTTTCTTTACAGAATACTTAAATCCTGATCACATAAAAATTAAGATACATTTTTTTAAAAATTAACAACTCCAAACAATAACAGCACTTGTCATCTTTTATTTATCCCATTCTTCACTCTGAACTTGAGAAACTGACCAAATTGAATTTTACGTGACTACTGATTTTTCCTTATTCAGAGTGATTTAGTCTCTAAAGTGTAGCCAATCTTAACAGTTATTCAGCTGTCTTTATCATCTTCATTTATTTAGGTAAGTAGTTTTAAAGTGATTTTGAAATGGGAGAAATGTGGATAATGCAAATGAGATATTAAGCTGTGAGCCAAAGTTCCCTTTAAATGTCTCATGTGTTTTCTGCTATCTTCTGAAAATCAGCTTCTAAGATTCCAATGTACAAAATCTACTCCCTACTGACCATAGACTATATGGCAACAGTTACTACATTAGAAAATGTAGTCCTTCTGTCACAGCTGACAATAAGGTGAGAAAAATCAGGAGGTTCAGTAGGAAAACAGTCCATGAAGAGAAGTGTTACTTTTTGTCGTTGTAAGATGATCCATTTGTTTAACATAGAATAGAAAGCTATCTTCCTGGGAGTTTGTCTTGGAAAAAATATAAGTAATGGCTCCTGGCACCAACACCGGATCTTTAGTATTCAACTGACTATCCTGTCTCATTATACTTTTAAAAAATACCAATTAAGTGCATTCAGAAATACATACAACATTCTTCATTCCAAAAACAACCTACCTGAATTCAGACTGTATAACTGTGAGCTGCCATTTTACAAAACCAAAGGGTCCTATATTCCAAATAGTACTTAAAATATCAGACTTATTCTGTTCATTTGAGTGAATAACACAAAACATTCAACACTGCATAGTAAAGACTAGGTTTTTATGCTAACACAAAGACATACTGATGATATGGTAGACTGTCATTGGTGTCTTCTGCATGAGGTAATTTTTTACTTAAATATATACCTGAGTTATTTTAACATCTTGGTTCTTTTGTTTGATTCAATCTCATGGGTCTAAATTTCAGGCTAGGATTTCTATAAATAGTTATACATAGACTATTTTGCTAACAGACTATACTTTGTGAATCATTTCTTTAAAAAATCTACTTATGACAAACAAATTATAATATCATCAAATAATACCAGGTAAATATATTATTATATATTTAGGGCATGTTTAAATTACATATGTTTTGAAATGTCAACTGTTTTTCATTTGCTTTATTTTTAATGAATGCATCTCTTAAACCTGTGCCATTAATTTTTTAAAGTTTCATTTGGTGTTTCAAATTTTATTTTAGAGTATTTTCTTTTATACAATAGCACAGGTTTCAAAGCTTTTTTTCTGATTAAAAAGATCAAATATGCTTCATTTCATAAGACTTTAAGAATAGTACCTGCAAATGTATGGAAATATTTATAAAATTATGAACATCTACCATATTCTCCTCGTTTGCCCCGAAGCATGAATTTTTACGTGTTTGCTTATTTTATTTGTAATTATCCCAAATTATGTACAATGTATATATCCTGTTTCATGATGGAATAGTTATTGTATGTGCAGACTGCAAAGCAAGGTGAATTTGTACATGAAAAGTGATTGATGGGCACCTGGGATTCATAAACAACGTGCAAAGGACAGGTGTGTGTTGTATTTACATGATTCATTATAGAACTGTTTAAATCATGCATTGTTTATCTTAAAGGTTCAAACTGTCACTTACACAGTATTTAAATCAATAAATTATGCCAATGAAAGGAGTCTACAGATACTTTTCTTAAACAGTTCATATATAAAAGTTATTTAACTTTTTACACATGTCACTTTCGGTTCCCTCTCCCTGCCCACCTCACCAAACCCCCAATCTTCCCAACTCCTCACTCCCACTCCATCCTCCCTCTGCTCCCCAGGGAGGGCAAGGGCCTCCATGAGGGATTTTCAGAGTCTGTGACATAATCCCTGGAAGGGTCTAGTATTTATTCCTGGCATACAGAAGGACTCTGGGAACCCATACAATGTAGAAGGATGCTTTCTCAGCCTGGACACATGGGGAAGAACCTTAAACAGTTTTTATTATCCACACAGTGAGTATCTGGGGAATAAGACTGAATGACATAAAAAAATGAAAGAACAAACAACACTGAGTGGAGTGATCACAGTATGCTATTTTTGTGGCTGCTGATGAAGCTTGAAGACACAATATTGGACATGGTTAATTTTGCATTATGTTTATACTATGAAAAGTATCCCTAATTCTTTCACAGAAACAAGTAATTTCTGATTCAAGCACTATACTATTGTAGACCAGACTGGCCTCAAACTCACAGAAATCTGCCTGCCTCTGTCTCCTGAGTGCTGGGAGGGAGTAAATGTGTGCACCACCATGGCCCAGCACAATTACTACAATCTTATGTGTTCTCTTTATAACATAGGAGAGGGAAAATCCACCTGTTCTGTGACCAGATAGTTACTCTTCTGAAAGGAAAGGCAGAACCCCACTGCCAGAGAAAAATGACAGCTAAATGCCCACTGAGGACCTGTCATAACTACACATAGCAGTCAGACCACACGAAGCACATACCTACTGAACGCTTCACAAACCTAACGATCCTGCCTTCTCATCGTAGATTACATAGAATCAAGATACCTTTGTTATTTTCTTGTCATCATCTTAGCCTATTTTCTGCCACCAATAATACAGGTATCACCAACTGGCAAACTTAAAGAGTTGTGTATTAGTTCATGCTTATGGAGGTCCAAGGCCAAAGAGCCAAAGAGCTAGCAGAGTTCCTAGACACCAGAGTTTCCCATGGTGAGACAGCTTTCAACCCTGGAAGCTCTACCTGGGAATATTATTAAATGTAAATCCTAATAACCTCCCACCAGTACTAACTGTAAATTTCAGGTACATTTCTCATGCTATAAGATTGAGCCCCAGTATGAATATCAGAGAACAACTCATCTTTAAACTGTAACCAGCCTCTCATACATAACCTCTTGATGCTGAAGTCCCAGACAATCATTAACAAAGCCAATATAGATATCTATAAACTGATATGCCCAGATAATTCTAGACTGTCAAGTAATTACCATTACATGATCTAATATTACTGTACTTTTGTCACTTAAGATTTCCACTGAAAAAGACTGTTTTTGTCTCCTTTTTCCTATAGGTGGAGATAGTTTGAGACTCTCTTTTAAGACAAGATTGAGGGTAGGTTTGGGTTTTTTGTTTGCTTTTTTCTTTTTCTTTTCTTTTAGATGTTATTTGTTTCCTTGTTAGAACATGTGATTTGTTCAAAGAAGTACATTTAAAACTATTAATTGAATAGCATAGGTTTACAAAGTATGACCTAATAATTATCTGAATTTCCTCAATGTCTGTTGTTATGTCCCCATTTCATTTCTAATTTTGTTAATTTGTATATTCTATCACTGCCTTTTGGTTAGTTTGGATAAAGGTTTGTCTGTATTGTTTATTTTCTCAAAGAACCAGCTCTTTCATTCATTCATTCTTTATATTGTTTTCTTTGTTTCTATTTTATTGATTTCAGCCCTCAGTTTGATTATATCCTGGGGTCTACTCCTCCTGGGTATGTCTGCTTCTTTTTATTCTAGATCTTTCAGGTGTGCTGTTTAGTCACAACTATGAGATTTTTCCACTTTCTGTATGTAAGCACTTAGTGCTCTGAATTTTCCTCTTATCACTGATTTCATAGTGTTCCATTGGTTTAGGTATGTTGTGTTTTCATTTTTGTTGAATTCTAGGAAATATGTATTGTTTTCACTTCTTCATTGACCCCAGGGTGATTCAATTGAGCATGGTTCAACTTCCATGAGTGTGTTGGCTTTTTGCAATTAGTGTTGTTGTTGAGTTCTAACTTTAAGCCACGGTGATATGTGGAGAATATGAGGGGATAGGATGTTCAAGATGGAGGAAGGACAGAGTGGAAAACCAAGGAAAGACATATCTTGATTGAGAGAGTCATTATGGGGCTATCAAGAAACCTGGAATTAGGGAAATTTCCAGGGATCCACAAGGATGACCCCACCTAAGACCCTAAGCATCAGTAGAGAGGGTGCCTGAAATGGTCTTCCCCTGTAATCAAATTGATGACTACCTGAATTGTCATCATAGAAACTTAATCCAGTAACTGATGGAAGCAGATGGAGAGAGTCACATCTAAGAAATGAGCTGAGCTCACAGAGTCCCCTTGAAGAGGTGGGGAGTGACCACATGAGCAAAGGCATCAAGAACAGTTTGGGGGTAGCAACACAAAGTGCTCACATGAGCTAGTGGGAGCTCACTGACTCTGTACTGATACCAGTAGAACCTGTATAGGACCAAACTAGGCCCTATGACTATTGGTGACAGTAGTGTGTCTTGGGCAGTCTGTGGGGTCACTGGTAGTGGGACCAGTATTTATCCCTAGTGCTTGAACTGGCTTTTTGGAGCCCATTCTCTTTAGAGGAATACCTTGCTCAGCCTAGGTATAGGGGGTAGTGCCTAGGTCCTGCCTCTGAAAGACCCCCAGAGTGGGGAGGCCCTCACTCAAGTCTTGGGATAAGTCGATGCCCCAATAAGTCAAGAAAGACCATTCTTGCTGCAAGCACACGAGGTTTATTCGGGGAACCAGTGCACTGGAGCCAAGCTCATAACCCTCGCAGGGGCAGAGGAGTTTGACCCCTAGTAACTGCAGTTGGGGGATTTTAAAAGGGAAAAATTGAATGGGGAAGCTAGGCAAACATCATAAACATAAAGGATGAGGGAGTTAAATGATAGCTTATGTCTTAACAGAAAGGTTCTCAAGCAAGCATTCTTTGGGCATTGTACAGTTAAATACTGAGCAGGAATGTGGTGAGCTAGTTCCTGGATCAGGGAGGGTTATCTTTTAGGTTATCTTGAGGTCTGTGGTTTCTCAGGAGAGGGCAGAAGGGCAAGTCACTCTGTGATGGGCTAGTCACTAGGGGTCTAAAAATGTTGAATTGGGATCTCTCACCTCTAAGTAAGGAGCCAAAGTTCCCTGACTCTGCGTAGGAAGCCTTACCTTCTCTGAGCTGTGAATAGTGGATGGGGTAGGGCAAAATAGGGAGTAGCAGGAAGAAGAGGAGGAGTGGGGACTGGGATTGGTATGTAAAATGAGTAAAAATAGCTTTTATAATAAAAAATGATGAAAAAATTTTGCTGCCTTATTTGTGTTTAGTAAACTGATGTCTCTGAACGTAAATACTTGTAGGGTAATCATCAAGCCATGTTTACTAGGATACAAATGAATGGATGGGAATCTGTTGATTTTCAATAAGTTCTATAAGGGTTTTGATAGCATTGGTGACAGTGACCCAGTGGCTTCATTTTACGGTGTCTTCATCTAGTCTATTTCAAAACAAAGAGCCATCTATCAAAGACTAGACCAAGTGCATCCTTTTCCAAAGGCTAAGTCCACAAACAATATTTGCCATCTTTAAATTCTAACCTCAACATTTCTTCTTTCTGGTGTCTTCACTTTAGAGACATTATTGAAGCTCTTACTTAATATGAATATTGGAATCTAATTCATAATTAAATAAATACATAACTCATTTAAATTTTTATATTTATTCTGCACATCCTCTCACTGTGATATTGATTCTAATACTCAAATGCAGTTCTGCAGAATAGGTGATAAATGTCTCAATCTGGGGCCAGGTGGTGGTGATGCACACCTTTGATCCCAGCATTCAGGAGGCAGAGGCAGGTGGATTTCTGCGAGTTCAAGATGAGCCTAGTCTAAAAGAGCTAGTCCTAGGACAGCCTCCAAGGCCACAGAGAAACCTTGTCTCAGAAAACAAAACAAAAACATGTCTCAATTTCTCATTACATCAAAAGTGCCAGGTTCTCAGTTACGCTTTTGAAGAGCAGGCTGGATTAAGCTGGTTGTCTGTAAAAATTGACATACATAAAGGTGTTTATTTTCATGTTAAAGTAAAGGAGGAACTACATATGGAATGTAAAAGGAAATGTTAAAAAAGAAAACTAACACAACTTGTTCTTCCTGGCCTGGAACATTAAAAAAATTGGGAACTGAAGGTATGACAAAATGTGAAAAGAACCTATGATGATGGCTGTCTCCTGAGTCTCCTACAACATATTATCAAGACAACTTGTAATAAGAAGTTCTTTTTCCCAGCTTGTTCTGCTACATTTCTCAGCCCCAAAGAAGAACATGGATACTATATCAATTATAAAAATCTTGGTCAGTATTTTCGGCTTGTATTGGCTAGCTCTGTCTTAATTATTAACCCATTTCTATTAATCTACTTATTTCCACATGCACTTTTCTTACCCAAAAAAGGTTCCAGACCTCTAACTCTTTTGGCAATTCATATGACAACCACTAACCATCTCCACAAAGAAGAGAGCAATTTCCTGTTTGTCCCTGCTTATATCCTGATTCTGTCCATCTACATCATTTCCTGTCTGTCTGTACAGACATCAAGACCTCTGTGGTTAGCTAGTGGCATGTTTCTGCCCAGCTATGTGACTTCCTGTCTGCCCAATCAGCCTATCAGTATTTTATTCATCAACTAATAAGAGAACCATATATACAGAAGAACATTCCCCATAATTGGCTCTTCTTTTTAGATAAAAGGGTTTTAACTTTAACATTATAAAATATATAACAAAACAGTTATCAGGTAAGAACTATAGTTAACAATATTTGGTCCATTAACATTTAACAAAATTTAAAGAAATATAATCAAGTCTATCTTTGTGAAT